CCTTGTTCAGCGAGTCTCGCATGACGTGGATATTGTCAATACCAAGATATGCCTTGGTAGCGAATTTGTAGTTGTCCATGTTCTCTGACCCAAGTCCAACAGCCTGCATGGCAAATGCATTCACGGTGGGGCGTGCATCCACGATCAGGTTCGACTGCTGGGCGCCATATATCGAGAAATGCTCTTCAGAATCGCCACTTGTAGCGGCTAGTAATTCATCCTCAAGTTCCTCGGCATTATTCAACTCGGGGACCACCACCTGAATCGTCTCTGCGTTGCTAGAATCTGTTTCTTTCTCCGTGGCTGAGTAATTTGCCAACGGCCGCTCAGAGCGGGAAGTTAAGAATATAGCAGACAGAAGCTTTTCGTCTTGAATGCTTCGGTTCTGGCGGACACCGACCAGCGGCTGTGAGCTTCTGCTGATGGTGCAATTATTGACAGGATGGAAGTATGTGAGAGCAGGAATTCTTGCTCGAGATCGATAGCGCCCTGCATAATTAAGTGTATTGTCGGAAATGGAACAAGGTACGGGGATGAGAGCAGGATAGGTCGGGGAGAACTAAGATGTGTTAGTAGAGTACATTTGGACTAATTTGCGTGAGCATACCTCATAGTTCACGTTGATCTCTGAAAGACGCCATGCTTTTCCTTCGTCTAAGCAGCCCTGGCGTGCCCATTCCTTGCGCGGGTCATAAAGCTCCCACCCATTAAACTCCTTTTCTGGCGGGGGAGGTTGATAGCTAAAGGCGTAAAGCTTATCGATGCGACTTGACTTGCACGTCCACTGCTTGATACTTTCAAATACATCTCGTGCTTTGTGCTCATTTACAAAGTAGAAACAGACGAATGTGAAGTCTCGGCATCGGAGGCGGATGGAAGAGAGCTGGCGGGAGGCGGCGGGAGCTGGCCGCAGCGTGCAGAAAGCGATGATAGGGTATGTGATCCACAGCTCTCTGGGCCTTGTTGTCACGCCCTTTACCTGGTCTTCTGGAGAGATTGGTGGGGTGTGAGAAAAGATGAGGTGGTGAGGGGTTAGATGGAGAGTGCCATCGACCTGCTCTCCGCGGCGAGCCAAGGTCACATTGTCAACCTGAAGCAACGTGGTCAGTGAGTAAGATGTTTGTGGCGCTCAATACAGGTTCGAACCTTAGCAATTCGTGTTTTCTCCATGCCGTGTAAATCACTGGCGCGTGGGCTTCATGCTGAATGTGGGTGAGGGGAGTGATGGGAACAGTAGGATCGGAGGGCACAGCAGGGATAGTGAGATGGGTCGAAATAGGTATATATATTTTATCGTGGACCTGTAATCAGCCAGGGCGACTAATCGGTCTTAAGCACCTGGCCTTGAAAGTATCGCGCGTGGAGTAGTTGGGATGAGAGGTGTTACACGTCACGGGCCTTGATCGGGTGTGGGGCCTCACCAGGGTCACGCCTACAATGTACAACGCAGGTATATCGTGTATATTTTATACATTTTTGGTATACTCGGTGTGACTGGAATGATTCAAAATGAGGTATCTCAGCTCATGACTTCAGATTTGGCCAAGGTTAATTCGAGATGTGGGCTTCGGTAATCGATATTGTCAGTTAACTTAGCTTCTTCCACTATTCAACTAATTAGTTATCTAATGACATTTGTACCATGCGCCTAGACGTCTCTGTAGACCTATCCTAACAAGATATGATCAAATTTAAATGGGGTATTGGAGTAAGATAATCAAAATCTGTCGCAATTACATAGCATATCCCATACACCGGATGTAGTACATGTGCCCTTTCCAAGCCACAGGCTTATAGGTGAAAGGAGATCAGACCCTTCGATTCTACCAACTAAGAATTTGAGTTATAGGAATATATATGAATGTACATAAAGCTCCCAATCCTGCCAAGATTTCTACCTCGTTGTATCAATGGTATTCCGCCAAGAGAGTCCATTTTGGCCCATTACCATTGGGGGAACACTGCCCTCATAAATTGGGATAGACTTCCGATTTGGAAGTCGGATGTAGACTAGAAATATCCGAGAATCATCTCAATCAGTGGTAATGAAGATCGTCACCCTGTAGATCGATACCCTGTAGAATAATCTATAGCGATGTAGTAGAAACAGATGTAGTTCAAAACGTGGAGAGTAATATCATGTTTGTGACAGAGACCCTTCGAACAAAGCTTACGAGATTATTCTAGTATATATGGTACTTGTAAATCATGACTTCTCGTGTTTATTCAGAAAGGGTTTCGACTACCCGGATTAAAGTCCAAAACATAATCTGTGTTTAAACAGGTAAATATTTTACATATAATGTACAGTAAATACAGCCCCAAGACGCCGCCATCATGACCGTTGATGCACGCTGTACAAATTCCAACAAAAAGTGATCCATGCTATTAATCCACATATCTGTTGCCGTGGATTTTGAATGCCATGTCACAGGCCGCGTTGTAGAACGAATGGAACTCATGATCAAGCTGCTCAGATTGGTCATTTTCTGTAGCAGAGTCAGATTGAGAAATCCCCATGCCTAGAGAGACCTCATTTGTCCGAGCAGCGAGGAGCGAACCGCTCTCATAATACCGGTAGTCAAGTGGCCGCCCATCAAAGTCGTACTTTTGGACAATGGCACCTCGAATGTCGGTGAGTGGAGGGAACATGTATTCAACAGTGACGCTGTTCTCTGTCATTGATTTGTCCAATTCTTTGGATTTAATTGGCGAGGTAGACTGCGGGACAAGATCACAGGGAAGAGTGATGCTGCAAAATATAGGAAGTGGAACAGGGCCTTTCGAAGTTCCACTGCTGACGATTGAGCCCTCGAGTGAGACTTTGAGGCTTTGCAGCATTGCTTGGATCTGTGGCGAGGAAGAAGACTCGGGCAAGAGGTGCTCAGAAGAGCTTTGTGGGAGTTCTGAGTGGGGAGATGGCTTATACAAGAGGTCTTGGGAAACAGTTCGTGTAAAACGAAGGTCCAGACCATTTTCCGGAAGCAGATAGTCAACGCTGTTTGTGGTGAGGATCGCCTTTACACTGTGGACATCCACGCCATCCAAGTTTGAGTTCATGGCTACCTCAATTTCGAGTTCCGGCGGGGATCCTGAGTTGGAAGTTGGAGACAACCGAAGTCGATATAGCGGCACCTCGTTCTTTGGGCGGATAGGTATGAGTGATTTGATGAAGCGCGACACCCGAGGCACGTCGTTTGTGAAAGTCCGTGGAAGGGACATTCTCCCTAACTGTGCTGGACTGATAGCTGTGTCATCGAGAGAATGCTTTTGCATAAAAAGGCATTTCCCAACTACGGCTGTCACAGATTCATGCAAACCGGCCGCTAGCCCGGTTTTCGGAGAAGTACCTCGGAGAAGCTTCAATAGTTCATCTGAAAGTCGTGTTTGATGCTTATCGAAGAAAGGAGTTATAAGGTTTTCTGCCTCGGCATTCTGACTAGAAGACATAGCCCACCGGAACCACGACTTTTGCTGCTCAAACCATGAAGCATGAGCTTCTGGTCGGTAGCTATAAGCACTGGCGAGTTCCGAGGCAGGTAAATAGGTTGAGAATGGCGTTGATGGAGATGTGGTGTTGGACAAGGCCAAGTTCAAGGTCCTCCGCGCATTATCTGCTCCCAACTTATTCTCGGCAAGATAGAGAATCTTTTGTGGCGGTCTGTGTGCTTTGTGTTCCACAAATACCCCGTGTGTGCTGCTAGCCCATTCCAAAAAGTCTGGGCTAAAAACTTGACTGGTTCCATCTCCGTGGACATATGGGTTGATTCCAACATCATCCTCGCGGATTCTGCCAGTTGCATCAATTATAATTTCATGAACAGACTCACAATCATTTCGCTTGCCAGTAAGTGATACCAGGCCCGCAGATTGTGTGACGTCAATACCGCAGCCATGGAGACTAGCTAGCTCGTGGAAAGAGAAATGCTCAGCATGGAGAAGCAAGGATATGAACTGAGCCGGTATACGGAATTCCAACAGGCCACTCTCGCCTTCAGCCACCAGCTGCCAACAGTCCCGAACGATCGTCTCTGCAGCCCGGGATTTCCCCCTGGAGCCCTTGGTCTTTCCCAATGACTTGTCCTGCGATTTGGAGTTACTTGACCCCCACGTCCAACCTTTCTCTTCTATCACATGATTGCGGTTGTATTCCGAGATGAACTCCGACAATTGCTTGTATGTGAAAGAGGAAGCCAATTTTGACCACAACGCCTTGAGGTCGGCAGCAGGCAAGGTTTGTCCCAGTTGATATGATCCTCGAACCCCTTCAATTCTTTCCTGGACTGACTTATCGCTAGGCGATGAGCTCTCCTCATTAAGTTCATCCAATATGGAGCTGATTGTGCCGCCAGATTCAGATTGGGGAGTTTGGTTGCGATTGCGATTTAACATTCGACGGCGACGTGAAGGGACAACAACGATTTGTCCTGGCTTTCCAAGCGTGTCCACATCCAATGTGAATGTGCCGGCTTCACGTTTTCCATTATCTTTCGGTTCGCGGTTTCGTTCGGAATTGGGTCTATCGAAAGCTTCGCGTTCATGATCGCGACTCCAGTTACTCTGATATCGGGGAAGGACGGTGTGTGAGTATGACAATAGTGGTCTCCGATATGAAAGCGATTGGAAGCTCAGAAGCCCCAGCTTGTTCCCTGCGGGACGTCGAAGCATGACGGGTAGGTCTATTGTAAACGTGGAGAAGGCAAATTATCTTGCGATCGCTTTTCTCCGGCGATAATCGCGGCGCTAGGCCGCGATAAGAAACTTATTTCTGCCTCAGGCATAAATCAACGCCGTGGACACACCTTTTTGGCAAGCTGAAGGTGTAAATAACTCCGACATTAACTGGCCGCAATATCTACTATGCACGAGGTAAACGTGTAAATAAATCCTTCGGTTATGTAGAACAAAACTCTCTCGAAATGTCTCTCTCATATTTGTGGAAAAAATATACTTAAAGTGTGGAATTCAAGCGATGTACTATTATGTGATACCTAGCGAATTCATTCTTTTGGTGCAACTTCCCAGCTGCGCAAGTCCTCTCTTACATCGAACTCGGAAAGCTCATTGTTTGTATCTGGCGCCTTCCATGCCCGACCCTTGGCCCCTTCATACAATTGCTGCTCGATGCTTCCACCATTTTTTTGATGTCCAAGCGCAGCAAGAGAGTCTGGGGTCTTGCTGCTACTGTGTGAGCCATTGCTGGAAGAACTCTTGGGTCGCCGCTCGAAACTGGGTGACAGCTTTTTCCCGGAGCGGCTTTGTCGAGGAGCTGTCTCTGGGCTCAATAGAGAATCTCGGTGATCGCCCGCTGAGATGCCAGCATTGGCATTGTGTTCATCGTTGTTCCAGCAAGAACTTCCAGCAAACAACTCTTCGATCAACTTATCAGCAGGTAGATCACAGGCTCTAGAAGACCACGACGCTGCTAAAGTGCGCCGATACATGTCTTGCATATCTGCAATCTCACGGCTCTTGATGTCAATAGACGGCAGCTGGCCAAATTCATCAGCGTTGACGGGCTGTTCGGTAGATTGAACAACTCCGGCGATTCCTCCAAAGACAGTGGCAGATTTCAACTGTGGTCTTTAATTATCAGCATTGAGATCGTGAATAGGAAATAAGCATGGGGATTCGCTTACGTCGTGAAGTTGCGGTCTCCTTCTAGCTGGCGCATCGCGATCCCGATCTTGACAGTACTATTCACTTTGCTTTCATGCATCAGGTACCGCCGAATGATCCCTTCATCTTCCTCAGTTTTGTCCACGTATTCGGCAAGATTGAGTTTGATTTTGCCTAGCACGCACTTTTCGGACATTGGTGACGAGGTGTACTCTTGTAAGACCTCAAAATTGAGGTCGCACTCCTGTAGCATTGATGTCCTATCAATTGTAAGCCTTACTTGGAGGGATTTCTCATAGCCCCAGTAAGCGCGGTGATCTGATAGAGTTGCTTTTTCTGTGTGGCCTTGGTGTTCAGTGGAACTTGACGATGGCAATCGCCATCGCACAAAAGCGACGCTGTTGCCCAAGGGGACATTATTGATATCGATGATCTTTTCAATGTCAGGAGACTTGACAGAATTTCCATAGTCTGTTTAGAATGCATACCCTTAAAACGAGCTCGAACCTAGGCTGTAGCAGAGGTCAGCTACATATGCACTTCATTTGGCCTTATTAGGTAGCTTACTCGTCTATTCTTGGGGACTACCGCGAGTGTGTTAGCTTACAGCAACCAACAAGTATAAAGGAACATACCAAATGCCTGCATGTTAACGGTCACGTCACCGACTCAAGCTTGTGGAAACTCAGGCACACCAACTGGTCCACTCAGGACCGGCCTCGAGGAAATATCTCAATATAGAGCCGAGGAAAAACTTAACTAGCATGAATATCAAATGCCAAGTAGTGATAGAGTCGTCAATTTGGCTAAGAGTCCTCCCCGCATATGCCGCGGACATAATGGGCGGTGAAGTGTGACGATCTGGCAGAATCAACAACCTGCGGCCAGGCTCTCGAGGTCACTTCTACGCCAATACACCTCACATCCTCTTCGAAAATCCCAGGCGACTATCAATACTTGCTGCTTGCAAAATACTGCCATTTTTACCATTTTCTCGCTCCACAACCATGGTGAAACCCGAGACTACCCCTCCTGCTTCATCTCCCCCGGCCTCAGCCGCGGCCGTTCCTTTGGATTCACCAACCCGCATTGTCCCAATCCACCCTGATCTCGCCGAGATAAAACTTCCAGCTGGACCACTACCATCATACCGCTATCACCCAGTAACATGTCAACCGATCAACCCTGGAGATTACCAAACTGAACTTAAGCAACTGGAAGAACAATACAAATCGCGCGAGGCTGCGCTCCATGCGCAAGAACAACTTTCCAAAGAAGTGAAAGAGAAGATTGAGGCTGCTAAAAGGAAACGAGAAGAGGTTCAAAAATCCATGGACAAGAAGGTCAAGGAACGCGACACTGAGATGAAGGTCGTGTCCAAGTTTCAAGAGACCAAGGCATCGGACATCCCGTCTTGAGGGAGGCGATAGCAACAATTTATTCCAAACCATTCAGACCACGAAGGAAAGCCCAAGGCTTCTCCATAGTCTTATCACATTCCCTGGTGAACAGACTAGCCTTCAAGGAAGAGTCTCCATTCGTTCTCAGTCTCGCTCGAAAGAACTCTTCACCTATGATTCCAGTGAAAGCAAATTTTTTTATCATTCACCGTGGGTTATATCCCTGCCAACACGCCCCAGGGAAGTAGCATGTCTTTGGGGTTGCAAATGTGAAGAGACAGGCACGCTAAGGAATCTATGTGGCTATGTCTACCCATGTGAGAGTTCGCTTGGCCCACACTATACCAGTGAGCTCTCTAACCCAATTGCAACATCTTGGAGCAAACATCACTTGCCTCCTTTGAAAATTCCAGGACTGGGTCAACAATGACAATGGCTCGTCCGAACAACACCAAAACTTGTGATCGACGAGCTATTACCATATGTCAAATAATTCTCATGTCTACAAGGCAACACATTCGGATCAAAGCCTCAGAAATTTCAAATATCATGAATCAACATCTCTTGTCATTCGATTATATCGTATTAAAGATACTCATATAACATTAATCATCATGAGTCACCATGAATGCTTCGTCGCGAAGGAAATTAGGAGAAAGGAAACATCGAGAACGTCAAGAACACCTTACAACGACCCGAGCAGCTTTATGACAAGCGGAAGGATCTAAATCAGAGTCAGCAACACATTCAACCGATTAGAGAGGAAAAATGGGAACATACATCTGCGGCATCCTCGATCAGAGTCTGGGTCTCGTTCACAAACTTGGGTGTGAGGAGATCGCCGGCATTGTTGAGAAGACCACCCACCTCAGCGAGGAGGTTGGGAGTGATGACAGGCGAGACATCAGTGATGAGAGTACGGGTGTCGTTGATAAAGGATGGGTTCAGCAGGCTAGTAGCGTTTCCGAGCAAGTAGGAGACGTTAGTCAGGAGCTTAGACGTGATAGCCGGGGCGACCAGATCGATCAAGCCCTGGGTCTCGTGGACGAACTTGGGCGTGAGCAGATCGCTGGCACTGGAAAGCAGGCTACCGATCTCCTTGACCGAATCTGCGGTGAGGAGATGGTTGGCGTTGCCTAGTAGACCATTGATATCCTTGACGCTGTCTTCTGTCAAGAGGTCGTTGGCGTTGGAGAGCAGAGGGCCGAGAGATGCGAGAATATCTGGGGTCAGGTACTTCGACACGCCGCCAATCAGGCCTTGGGTCTCGTTCACAAAGCTGGGCGTCAAGAGGCTGCTGGCACTGCTGAGGAGGCCACCGATCTCCTTGACAGAATCGACGGTCAGAAGGCTGTTGGCATTGTTGAGAAGGCCGCCGATTTCCTTGGTTGTTGCAGGCGTCAGAAGAGTGTTGGCATTACCCAACAAGCCGCTAATCTCCTTGATAGTTGAGGGGGTCAGGAGCTTGTTAGCGTTGCCAAGGACGCTGCTGATCTCCTTGAATAACTCAGGTGTGATATTAGGACCAACAGCGCTGATCAGGCTCTTAGTCTCCTTGACAAAGTCGGCAGTCAGCAGACCACCGGCGTTAGTGAGCAGGTTGTTTATCCCCTTTACAGACGAAGGAGTCAGAAGGTTGTTGGCGTTACCCAGCAGGCTATTGATCTCCTTGAATAGGTCGGGCGTAAGAATAGGTGACACGGTACTAATTAGCTCCTTGGTTTCCTTCACGAATTCGGCGGTCAGGAGATGGTTTGCGTTGCCAAGCAGGCTATTGATCTCCTTGAACAATTCAGGGGTGATCACAGGACCAACAGCTTTGATCAAACTCTTAGTCTCCTTGACGAACTCGGCAGTCAAGAGGTCGCTGGCGTTGTCAAGCAGTCCAGTGACCTTTGTGATAAGGCTCTTGGTGAGCAGACCAGAGGCAGTATTAATCAGGTCCTTGGTATTCTGTGTGGTGTCGTCATCAAGGAGATAGCCGACATGGTGGAAGAAGGACTCGATATCCGCCAGCAGAGTAGGGGAAAACAGGCCCCCAATTCCATCAAAGAACTTCCCAATATCCGAGGGGTGAGTCGCTGTGCTTCCGCCCCCTGTGAAGGAGTTCTGTGTGCTTTCTGCAGACTTTGTAGTCTGGGTCGTGGTAGCCGTGTCTTGAGCGCTAGGGCCTGTTTTGGTTTTTTGAGAGGCATGAGATGTAGCAGTTTCTGAGGCAGAACTTCCTGGAGCAGAGTTCTCTGCTGGCAGGATGTTGTTCGGGCCCGATGTGTCCGGCTTGGCCGAAATCTCAGCGTTGACGGAAGTCGTAGCACTCTGGGTGTCCTTCTGCGTCTCGCTGGCTGTGTCCGCAGCAGCATCCTCCTTGTTATTGCTGCTCGATTCAGCAGTTGACACTGCTGCTATAGTGTGAGTTGCAGTCTGAGTATTTTTCTCTGCAGCAGTGTTGACTATGTTCTCTGCTGGTTGCACAAGAGCAGTGGCATCTGATGCACTCTCGCTGTTTGCATGAGGTTGCGCAACGTCCTTTTTGTTCGCTCCTGCCTCTGTGGTCGCACCAGCTCCCACGGATGAGGATACCTGGGCGGCAGGACCGGCCAGTGCGGTACTAGAGAGCACCAGGGTTGAAATAAACGCGGCGGAGAAACGCATCTTAGGCCGTTGCTCTGTACAGAGGTAACTTGACAGCAGGGATTTCCGGCGGTTGACGTCTGAGACCAGAACTCATCTTGCAGGGAGATCTCGCGTCTCCTTTATGTCCTTGGGAATCATCCACTGCAGATCCTTGAATGGGGCAAGCCGAGGACAGCCAACCCACATGTGAAGTTCTGTGGTCTTTTCCGGTTATACTCCGTGCTGATGTCAGTGAAAATGGAGCGGTTAGACCCAATCTGGGCGGAGGACTGCCTTTCTTCGTTCCGTATTCACGGGTTCGAGCGGGCTGTCTATGACCTCCTAAGCCACCAGCGAAGCTAGGATCCATGTGCCGTCAACGGATCCGTCCACCGTCTGAAGCTAGTGACTTGGACTTGCGGGGATGACGAATAGCGATGCTGGAAAGTACGAATTGCGGAGTTTGCATCTCGCTTGGTTTAGGCACTACAGTTGCTTTCTTACTTGATGATCGGCATTGGGTTGTTGTTTTTTTTTTACCCAAATGATCATTTGAAAGCAGTCATCTCGCTTGACTCGAGGTGTTGATCAGCCATCCCAACTGACCGCTGATCTCGGCCAATGGCACTATTCTCATTAGATCGAGCCAGAAAGGAGAGTCTTGGGCCCTATGATAAGCGCATCTCAATGGGCAAATGTCGAATCGCACCCTTCGCTTAGCGGTGTTCTCCACTTTCATAACTACGTTGTCTTGTTCAATTTTGGCAAGAGCATCCGGTCAATGGAGTTCAATTCCCACCTTTTTTTAGTAGGCCGCATCTTTCACCTCGGGATATACAAACCCCACGGAGCGGGGGAGTATACAGGGTTGTGGAGAGAACATCTTCAATGTATGTATCTCTATAACTATTCGAAAAATAATTGGGCTTTCTTTCTAGGAATGTTTCTTTGATCGCACCCTGGTCAATTTTGGAATGGACCCTGGATATATAGCTTAATTGTTCCATCAATCAAAGATATATGCGCGTTGGCTTGATCCTGCACGCCATGCAGTAGGGCATTGAGGCGGGAGAAGCATGTGAACTGTTAAGCCGTTACCCGTGAAGGCACTAGCGTGTAGATCGGCGCGGGGGTTCCTTGGCCAGAGGAAATAGAAAAATTCATGTTCCTGGCGACTTAGTAGCTCTTCCTGGTTTATATAATTGTAGAATATTGAATTATCATGACAATCTACATATTGGGAGTAGTGTGGCTGTTCGGTGTCCTTGGATAACCCTATCCCTCACTTTCCAGCTGTCATACGATAATAAAACTTCCCCACAAAGTTCCTCTCGCACCTAAAGGGGTCCACGGGGGGCCGTATTTTGTTCCTGGTCGATCCTCATACCGGGAATGATTGGGACGAAGTGATTGGATAACATTTTCTGGGGAAACGGGCCTTACTATTGTCCCACATGCAGTTCTTACCCTTTTTTGGTGAGTTATATACCCCAGAGTAACCCCAATGTGTGACAATCTTCTCTTCGTATTGCTTATTTGACGATCGTTTCCTCACTTGCCAAGCTTTTCCTTGTTTTTTCCAAAAGATACTTCTTGGTATGGTGCCCTATGTTGTATGCTTCCCGGGCTAGAAAAGAAAGCCCCCAACAGCCATTCAATGCGGGATGCGCCGTTCCTGCATTAGTGTATTTCTATATAGCCTGTGCGTCCTCAGAAAAACATATATCAGCTCCCCTACTCCGTACAACATACTGGAATAGATAGGGATTATAGGTAGCAATCCTGGACCATATCAGTTTGGTCCCTTTTTTGCTACTTGGGCGCATGCATTTACTTGATCCTTCATGCAAATGCATACTTGTCAATTCCTTTTTCTCGGTAAATCAAGTCGGGCCAATCTCTGACTTGATTTGTACTATTGCCCCAAGCTTCTAGATCTCAGTGTGTGCTCGAAGTATTCCTGACCTTGTACGAAGCTTGTAGCTAACAAAATTGCGGGCATATACTTGCTTATGACGCCATTTTATCAAGCCTTTTTATGATAGAGATATATTCGCCGCCCACTTAACCTCCCTCGGAGTGGATGGTCCTGCAGGTCAAGGCTTTGAGGTTGTTGAGACCACCAAGACAACATCTTCTGAGACCACCACTTTTTCCAAGCTTTTTTTAATGTCGAATGTCGTAAAAGCGTTCTAAATGAAAATATCCAGTGTTATAATTAAGGCTTTCGTTGGTTTGTGTCTTTTTTTTCGCCCTTCAGACTAGAAGACGGGGGAAACGATGCCTTGAAAACGCACCTCAAAAGAATATTGAAAAGCACACTAGAGATAAGTCATTTAATTGCCCACACTGTGTTTATTATATCCATATACATATCTAGTTCTCTCAATTATTCATTCCAGTATACAGCCTATGGCTCGAAAGTAATAGTACTCTAACATATCCCCAAGGCTCCATTAAAGGGGTGGATTGCGTAGATAATACGTTGAAATATAGAGAGCGTTGCGATGGTCCTTAGAAGGTGCCACATACTATGGTAAGGCATCCGACTCGGCTCTTAAGAGGGCAGACAAAAATGAAAAGCAAACTATGGGTATATCTATAGTTTTTCTCAAAAGTACATGTGTATGATGGAATAAATGATGATGACAATGATTGAGAAGAGCTGTATCGCTATCGCTATGGATATAACACATGATGCAAGCGTTTAGTTGGCAGTGCGAGTAAAGTTTGATTGACAAAGTGAGAGGTAACATGTAGAGATTTTAATATCTTCATGAAGCACAGAAAGACAAGATGTCCTTATTACTATATTGTATAGGATGCATTGTTTCCAATGCTGCTAAGTAGTATAAAAAATGTTCTGGAATTCTTAACACCACCAAACTCCTTGCTCGGAGGTTTGGGTGAGACCCGACAATCTGGATGTCTAGGAATAACAAGTGAAACCTTATCAAAGCTTTCTGTAAACGGAACAATGATCTATGAGTCATGAGTCTAATATATGTCTACACAAGACCCGGAATGTGCTGTACCACTCAATTATGAATGAGCCCCTTGGACATGTTCTAAACATAAGTCTACAGTGAGGCAGTCATTTAACAGCCTCCAAAGGACTGATTTATTCTGGGTCCACCTAGAAGTTTGTTCAACAAACGGTATATCGTGCAATATTAGGGCATTGTCTAGCTTCGTTCCAAATCGAACATCGTCGGCACACATATGAGTCATAACCGATACAGTCTGCAAAATTCATTGGACTTCGATATACTGTTACGTTCATAGCATGGTGATGTTATTATTCCAACTTCGTGGCAGCCTGGCAATCATGAAACCAGGCTTGATATAGGCCCGAGCTGAGTTTCAGCAGCCGCCTGACTGTGAATGTGGGTAGGATCTGCCTGAGATTCCAGGTCCCACCTGTTGCCAACTTATATCTCTTCTCCAACCGATTTCTGGTAAAACCTGTAAAGTGAACAGAGTGAAGCAAGAAACTACGTTGGAGTGACTAGGGCTTTGCATATTTACATGTGGGGCCGGAGATATCCGCCACACGTGGCGAGTAGTTTGCACCGCCTCATATCTATTTTAGGAAAAAGCCAACTCGGTCGCATATTTTTCCATTTATATGCCCTGTATAGATACAAGATAGCAATGACGAAACCTCAAAAAACACCCGACTCAAAGCGATCACCCCATACACCCACACCAGACCATGTGACCGAACTCGTATGCAGCAGGGATTCCATTTTAGGGAAGAGGCAGAGGTAGAGGCGCCTGCAGTAGAGTAAGATGAGATCATTGAAAAACCTGAATCATGTGGACAATAAAAAGAATAAGAAACGGTATTTCAGTACCCAAAGGCTAGTGGCGCCGTCCCAAAGTATGGCAAAGGAGGCTCAGCCCAATGGCGGATCATAACAGGGATCTCAGCTTTCGTGCATCGGCCGGACTCGGTTGGTCTCAGCGAATCCCAGCCCTGAAGTGACTCAAGACGGGCTTTGCCCCACGCTTGCTCGACCCTCCATCAGCTGAAGTCTACCACTCGGTACCGTCTTAGCACTCGATAGGTCCAAAAAAAACCTTGATCTGATTGTTTTTGTGGTGTTTCCTGTAATATTAATGTAAATCTTGTATTATGTCTCCCAGGCCTATGATCCAGGGTATTGAAGATATTGAAACACAAAAGGGATCGAAACTTAGGTCTTGGCTTGCAGACTGCAGCCAAATTTAAATAGAGTCTTCACCCCAAAGCATGGGATTTCTAGTGGGATATCCAGTCTTACCGATGTGTAGATCTTGGCGCACACTGAAAATATGCACATCGCCCAGCTGAGAATGTATTTAAGTCTCCGCTACGGAGATAGTAAAGTGATCGCTCTAGATGATCTATGGAGACTCGGAAGTTTTGTTTATTTCTGTTTAAGCCATTTGGATGATTGGGGCTTAGCTGTTGCAGTTTAGGGCATCATGCAGCAGGCCAAATGGACGTGCAACAGGTGTGTGAGGCTAGCACTGTACGAGGAACCTGTCAAGTTTGATGAAACGCTCTCGCGCCTTTCTTTAACCGTTCCAATTATTCAAGTATTAATCGCCACTAAGTCTTCAAGTTGTAGGCCGGGGAGTCCGAGAAAGTGGCCACTGTTGATGTGCATTTGACTCCATCGGGCTGCATACTAAAATACCGTAGCATGAATTTGTGTCTTCTACTCCGTAACATGTTAAGGAAATATTAATACACATACACATTAAATCTCCACTGGTAATGCCCCTCTTATATTATCTTCACTTCCCTCTTTTTCTTCTATAACCACAGACTTTCATGTCATCTCCTTTCTTTTATATTCTAATTTCTGTTCTTTTTGCGCATTCGTCCGCACTTTAATACTGGATTATACGACATCTTAAGAATCTCAATTCAAATCCAAAAACATTTTGTGTGGGCGAATGTCGCTTTTATGATTTATATTCTATATTCTACATTCTTTTATATCAATACCAACGCCGGACGTATCACCTTTCGCACAGTGTCATAATGCCAACAGTCTTACTCCCATCCTCCGCCGCTGCGTTTGCGCCGCGATCATCACCGAATGTCGTGTTGAACACTAAGGTTGAGCCTTGGTTGACGGCCACCCTGAAGCGAGTTAACCGGGTCAAGCGTCCTTTGAACAATGTCACCCAGCATACCCGGTGTCTGACAGAAACACTCTCCTCGACAAATGCCATCTGGACCTTATGTTCCATGATGTTCACCAAGGCCCCCCAGACAGAGTTGGAGAAGAATGAGAACGTGCTCTGGGAATCTCTGCAAAATTACCAAATGATTCACATGGAGGCCTACGTTGTACACGTCGACATGGTCTCCCGTAACGAGGTCGCCTTCAAGTTGACTCCGGAAACTATCGAATCCCTCGTTGATTTCCACAAGGATGTCTACTCGGTGGATGCCGCCGCCAATACATACAACTGGTCAGGAAAGCATGGTGAGCTGAAGAGGTTACAGGAGGAGTTTGTCCAAGCCGCCAACAAGTTTGTCTACCGAGCCAATGCCCAGGCACTCGAAGGGCTAGAAGAAGGCGGCGCCGGAGAGCTATTAAGCGGTCGCAGCGAAGAGGCAAAGGCAGCCATCGGCAAGCTCTTTGTTCCGCTGGTTGCGCCTGCGCCACCAGTGGTGGATGTCATGCGCCCAATACCTCTCCTTCCCAGTTCGACAGGTCCGGAAAACTGGTGGCAGACCCCGGTGCCCCAGCCAGCACCACTCGAGTCGTGGAAAGTACTGTCGCCCAGCCCCAACCCGGCCACCACGGGTGATTCTAATCCGAATCTTTGGGCTAGTCTCAGTTTCAGTGATGCCCAACTTGCCTCTCCGACCCCATCTTACAGCCAACCATTCACCCCCTCGCCGTTCCAGACCTACGACTGCCTGCCGACCACATCGGCCGCTCTTAGTCCGCTCCCGCTGCCGACCATGTTCCCAAGCATGTTCCCGAGCATGCTTGTACAGCCCTGCAGCACGGCTGTTAACATGGGTATGGGGGGATTTAATACTTGGGGCGACTTTGCTCCGATGCCGTATGGCACGATCGCCTAGCTCAGTCCTGAGTAGACTCGGTAATGTCGACCATACCCAAGTCCAGGCGCCCCCAGTTCGTGCAACGTGAGTTTGAGAAACGTAGATCGTTTCTTAACTAGATGCGCGCGCAAATTTTCGGTTTTTTTCACGACTCCTCAACTCCCCCTCTCCTCTCTCATCTATCTCCCTACCGGGAACCCGATTCCAAGCAACGACAATTGGCATCCTTGACGGCGTTCTCTTCGATTCGACACTGTGCATCTGTGATACTCCCTCCTGCCTTTGCATGATAACCAGAATTATCTTTTTTTTCTGCGCTTGTTTTGATAGTTTTGATGTTCGATTCCAGCGTCAGCGATGTTTTTGTTTTGGTTTTTTTTGCTCTTTTCAATTTTTTTCTTTGCATCAAGAAGCGGCGGGTCGGCTCTCTGCTATGTTTCGTTTCTTTTGTTATTCCCGCATATATGTCATGAAGACTGGTCTGCCTCACGGCATGTGGAGGATATGAATTTGGACGTGGAATGTCCTTACGTTTTCAATTCTTCTGTCGCAGCTCGGTGGAAAGGGAAGAAAACAAGTTTGGGCTACTCAACTGGACTGGGTTCAGCGTTTGCCTTTGCTTTCTTGTCTTTCTTACGAGGTCTGTCCTTCTGGTACTGGGTACCGGACTGGCTAGTTCTCTTTATCTGAGAGTTGGAGGATAGGTTTATGCGACAGCGTCGCATTCCTTGCATCTGTGATGCTTGGTTGGAGCACGCATTTTTGGTCATCTTTAGTTTGAGGAGGTGAAGATCGGCGACACGAGTGAGAGAGAGGATTGCCCTCAACCCTCGTCAGACTCGAGCATATCCGCCTGTGGCAGATACCGAGCGCGAAGAGCGATGCGCTGGATTTCCTCCTTTGGTCTGTGACCTGGAGATATTCACATCCCGCCTAAGCGACGAGTGGTCTGAGCGGCAGTCATCTCCGCCCTCTGCGCTACGAACTCACCTTTAATGACCACAGGTGGCAATGATAGATTCATCTCCTATCGTCCGGGCTGGGTTTTAGAAATTCCTGGGCAAGCTTGGTCTGTCGGTGGGCTCTTTTACTGGATGGAAGAGCCCTTCATTCTTTGTCCCGACGACGAGAATCGGATGCTCGATCTGATAGATACTCTCCTTTCTTATCTGTCTGATCGAGGGGCTGGTCCCTTGCGCTGGCTGCTTCTTTTCTCCTGGTTTTTTCTGTTGATCCATCAGCAGCTCTGTCCAAATATTGTATGTATCTCTTTAGCTTAGTTTTAAAAAGTGCGTACACAATTTCTTCCTCTCACTTTGTACCTGTAGCTGGGTATTTTTATATCCTGCAGATATATAGTATAAAAGATCACCGGCTTTCAAGAGAAGAAGATTTGTACTCATAAATTCCAATATAGGGATCATTTCAAGACAACTCCATACAATATATACATTTTACCCCAGTGTATGACGTCAACCGCCAAGACAAGTCCAGGCTACATCATATCCGACTTGCTCGAGCTTGACAGTCACATTCAATCCCTTTAACACCTCTACCTGCATCTAGATTTGGGTTTCATGTGCTACTGTCTCTTTGCATTGTAAATTTATTGCATTTGTTTCTTACCTCTGGTCCAGACCCACCAATTGCTTCATTTATAACTTAAAGCCTTCCTGCAAAGCAGTTATATTGCAGTCCCGCCTGGGCAAGCCATCTGAGCATTGTTGGGCATTTAACTCTTAAATTCTGAAGATCTTGGTGTCTGATACCGCTTGTCTCACCTCCGTGACCCGATTCCGGCATAACCACGAGCTGACAACCACCACTACTCGAAACAACATCACTACACTACCGATACAATCTGTTGGACTTTACAACATCGCAGAAGACTGAGATTTCAAAGGAATAAGATCATATTACGGCACCTATGGCTACTCTACATGAGGCCCTCCAATGCCTCAAGCCGACGTCATGGGACGAAGTCCCCCAGGATCCCGACGAGCTCCGTGAATACGTGCGCGAGATCTTCAAAAACAGCCGCCTGGTAGCGGAGTCTCTTCCAGACCCCCCAATCTCCGATAGTGATGACTATCCCGGGTTAGACGCCACTTCAGATTCTTCCGCCCGACGAATCGTCCCATCATCCGCGCGAGTGGGAGAAACCGACCCAGGGATTACAAAACTACAGAAGGAATGGGGGAAGCCACTCAAGATGGGCGGACCAAAGGATAATCCGTTAGACGTGACTGTGTGGAAACTTCCTGCGATTGACGGCGGAGGCTCATGGTTCGGGCGACGGAGTGTGCATGAAGGCCTCCCATTCTCGCGGTGGCAGAAGAAGCTTTCAACTGAATACGACGAAACGCTCAAAGTAAACCGCAAGAAGATTGAGTCGGGACAGACGCCCGACAAGAGCATCCGCGGGATCGGCGCCCAAGAAAAGATCGAGACTATTGAGGTCAAGGACCATGATGGCTCGGTTATGGGATACTTAATTGTTTACCATGTCTCGGCGCAATTTCCCAAACCTACCGCTCCGCGTGACTTTGTGGAGTTGATCATCAATTCTGATTCTGGATTGCAAACTGGCGGATCTCGGCAGCCTGGTCGCAGCTGGATAATGATCTCTAAGCCGTGTGACCACCCCGGTATCCAGCATCAGCCGGGGTATACTCGCGGAGAGTATGAGTCTGTCGAGCTCATTCGGGAGATTCCTAAGAAGGATGGCAGTGGGAACAGCTCTCCTACCCAGGGCAGTAAGAATAACGGTGGTTCTCCATCCTCCAATCTGCAACGCCCTGAGGGGCTACCTAAGCAGAATGGAGCTGGGGATGGCGAAGACGAAGAAATGAATCCTGTTGAATGGATCATGGTCACCAGGAGTGACCCGGGGGGCAGCATCCCACGGTGGATGGTGGAGAAGGGAACACCGCGAAGCGTGGGGGCGGATGCCGCTAAATTCATCAATTGGGCTATCCAAGACGACAAGCCGCCTGAGCAAGAAACAAGCACAGGTACGGAAGCTGTGAATACCTCAGCAGGCGCCAAGGCTAAATCTGGGGAGATTGAGGGGGGCTATGACTCCGACCAGGCAGACGACTCGGATTCAGATTACGAATCACTCGACAGCGACGGCGAGCATTCGCATCATGGTCTAATTGCTAGTGTCACCAGCTTGCTCAGTACCGGACTGGAACGATTCGCACCACATGTTCTGGGCTATGGCCCTGATCATGAGGTATCGGGTGATCTCCCACCCGCGGATGAAGTTTCCTACATTGATGCAGAGGGCAACGCACACCTAAGCTCAAAAAGCGTTCAACAAGACAAAACATCGTTGGATGCTGGATCTTCAACATCCCACGAGCGCGACCATGCTTCGTTCTCCTCAGCCAATTCCGAACACGCAGCAACTGCCATCGACGAGGTAGCACAGAGCAACAGCATTTCCCCCGAGGAGCTGATCAAAATGACAAAGAATGGCAAGCTCAGTCACAACGAGAAAGAGCTTGCAAAGCTAGCCATTCGCAAACGCGAAGTCGAAGGCAAGCTAGAGGACATCCGCGCTGAACTCGACAAGTTTCAGATCTCAACGCAACCGCCTAGTGTCTCCGGAACCCCACTGAAAGGCATCAGCGAGGAAGACACCGGCACTAGCGAGATACGCAATCGAGCAGGGACGAATATGTCTTCCCGGCCCCCCAGCACTCGCACACAGCAGAGCCAAAGCCAAACGCAAGGCGAGACCAACAATGAAGACAAGCTATCTTCTGAGCGGACGGCAACCCCGGACCCGCCAGCGCATCTCTCCAGAGCAGCCTCTCACTTTCTCAGTGGGGAATCTAAGCTGCTCAAGCAACTGCGCAAGATCGAGTCTAGCCAGCTCAAGGTTGCGACAAAGATTCAATCGAAGCAGCGAAAGGATGCGGAGCGCGAGGAGAAGCTCAAGAAAAAGTCTGAGGTTGATAACTTGAAGCACGAGGTACATGAGCTCAAGAAGGAGCTCAAGCAACTTCGCTCTGAGCGCCAGAAATGGGTCGATCTTGTTTCTTCGTTGCAGGCGGAGAACACGAGGTTGGCGGCGAAGTCGGAGGGTGCTTAATTGGTGGCTAGACCGTAATTATATGGCTTGTACATACTATAACTATAGCTTGTTTTCTAGCCTCTTCTGTTTGTTTGTTTTTAGCTTTTATCGGGGTCTGATCTGTCTATGGTTTTATAGCTACTTTGTCCTATGTCTATTTCTACATCTATCTGCACGGGAATATATTTTGATATGGATATCTTCATGTTTCAAACTTCATGATTAGATTATAATATTGCAGATCATGATCAATCAACTGAGATACAGCTCTGGGTCAGCTTCTCCCATGCATTAGATGCAGCTGAGAAACCGAATGCTCGTCAAGCAATCCCAGACCGTCCACAGGTCATGATGCTGGTTGGGTACTCGGGAACTTGGTGTTGAGCGCATGATTTCATGTGGTAGGCATGATATATCATGAACTGACGCCCTCAATAACAAGGATTGAAGGTTGCTTGAAGTTTTAGAAGTCAAAGAAACGGTAATCCATAGGGGATACCAACCCCCAGAGAGAGACTTTGTTCGCATAGAGCGTTTCGTATGTTGAGTTGGAAGTGTCATTCCGTACCGAAAGAATCGAGTGGAAATCTCAAGAAAATGGGTCTTCGCCGGTTTCGAAACCGGTACACAGGGGGTTATATCATGTTGGCGAGATTGCTAAGCTAGACTAGGGATGGCCGGAGGATCGGAGGATCGGCCTTCCTGTATGGAAAACCAAGGGCGCGACAGGGGGTATCAAGAAAAACAAGAATAAACCACACTGGGTAATTTTTACTCTTGAGTCTGAATCATTGAGCACATGTTAGCCAACCCATCTTTGCATCATGTTGAGCAACTCAGCAAGAAACCACATACCTCTGGCGGGTTACCAGCGCCTCTGACCATTTTCTCCAGCATCATTGCGCGCACCTTTTCTTTTGGTTCGCCCATGCCAACCGCCATGTAGGACAGCAGGGGAGGGTGACCGACGTAGGAGGAGTAGCTGTCACGGAGGATGTTGGACGTCCATTCGTACTTGGTGGTATCGGCGTGTCCGGTACCGATGTAACGGGCCTGGAGAGCCTCAAGGTTCTGGATAGTGCGGAGCTTGTCGGCCATGATGGATAGTAGGACGTTGACGTTGGATTGAGAAGGATGGCGGAAAGCTTGAGAGAAGAAAGGGAACCATCGAGGCCTCAGGCACAAACTATATGGACTCACGTGATCGTATGGGCATTTTGAGATTCTTCGATCCTATTCTCTTTACCTTTAGTAAAGCATTTGGTTATTTAAGAAATTGTTACTCAAACTATGATCATATCCAATGTCTGCTGATACGTCTGGTTCTTCATTACCGTCCCGGATAGCATCACTGGTTCATGCACATTTCGATGCTCTGCCAACGCGCAGTAAACCAACCATATTTCCGGATGGATCGAGGGAATGGATTCCAATGACTGGTATTGTGGTTGTCAAAGGTATGTTTTTTTAACTCGATTATTCATAGAAGGGTTATAATCCCTTCGTCTATATATGTATAGTGGAGGGGATCGGTCCATTCGTTGCTCTTTGCTTCGCCTCACATGTCTTTCTTTTTGGTTCTAATAGTAACATTTTTGTCTCTTCGTTTATAGGAGAAAATACACCTTCAGAAGTTTTGACCTGCATATCTGTCACGTAAGTTTTGACTTCCCCATTTGTAACTATGGCGAAGTCATATGCAAGTGACCTACATTCAAGCAAGCTGATATTTATGTAGGACTGGCGCAAAATGCTTGTCGGCATCTCATATCCCACGCTGCAGGGGTCTTGTCCTACATGACTGTCATGCCGAAATATTGGCCATCCGAGCATTCAATTATTGGCTTTTGACCGAATGTAACAGTGTCCTGTCCCAGGAAAAGCAATTACCGAATGGCCGTGATACTTCTACTAAAGTCTCGGTTTCTCCATTCATACAACGGAGAAGAATGGAAGATGACGCAGATAGTATTTGCAAATCACCCACAGAATGGCCACCTTTTGAGCTTCAGCCTGATATCAATATTTACATGTATTGCACATGTGCTCCTTGCGGCGATGCAAGCATGGAGCTCTGCATGGCAGCCCAAGAAGATGCGACACCGTGGGAAGTATTACAGCAAGAAGGTCCTTTATCAAAATCTCAAGATGCAGAGGTCCCAGGTACAGAGACCCTTCTAGATGGCCGGGCCCACTTCTCTCTTCTCGGAGTCGTGCGTCGAAAGCCAGCTCGCATGGACGCCGAGTCCACGCGTAGCAAGTCCTGCTCAGACAAGCTTGCATTGCGGCAAGTCTCCTCCTTGCTGTCCTGTGAGACCAGTCGCCTCGTTACTCCCACCAAAAACGCCTATCTGGCAGGTCTGATTCTTCCTGAGGACGAAATCAGCCAAGTTGGCTGTGACCGCTCCTTTGGTAAGAATGGCCGGATGCAGGCTTTGGATGGTCGATGTTGGCCAAGGGAGACAAAGTTTAAAGAAACCGCACCAGGATATCGATTCAGGCCATTCCAGGTTCTTTCGGTGCCAAGCGACGAGGTGGCGGCGCTTTGGCCGTTTGCGAAGCCGAAATCTGTGCCTTGTCCTGCAATTTCTTTGGAGCAGGAAGGAGACCCTTCAACGTCTGGTGCAAAATCTAAAAAGTCCAGGCCAGGGAATGTGAGCGCCGTTTGGATATTGGCTCCCTCATATCACCACACGTCGGCAATGACCATGGATACCAGCAGCAAGTCAGTACCAACTCTTTGCCGTTCCAAAACCGGTTTGTATGAGACTATCATCAACGGAGTGAAGCAAGGAAACCGGGTATCCTCTCCCGGTGCCCGTGGGGCTTCGTCTCTATCCCGAGCTAAGCTTTGGGCTCTTTTTCGCGAAATTGCGCCTGCCTCGGTTCCACGTATCTATCAAACCGGTGTCTCCCCAGCCGAATTGCCGGCGGATGCGCCAGAGATTAAAGATCCGCACATCAATACAGTCCAACCCCATATGTCAGATATAACCACCTACCAGGATTTCAAAAATCCTAGCAGCTTGGAAGACCCATTGCAAATCCGTATGCAGGCCATCGGGGATGCGAAACTGGTTCTCAAGGGATGGATGCCTAATTCAGGAGACGAATCTTGGGGCCTGGATGTTTTAGTTGACCCCAAAAAGCGAAAGCGTTGATTGTGTCCAAAGGATGGAAGATTGCTCGATGAAGATTAATATAGGACGTGAGACTACATACCAAACGAACCGCCCAATCAATCAAACGGGCAGAGCTCCATGGGTCCATAATGTCAACACTGAGAAGTCTCGGAATTCTGCCCAGCTTTGGTTTAGATCTCCTTCCCCTTCTTGCCCTATTTCCTTCCTCCTTGCTTTCTGGTCCCCAGCCTCATCATTCTATGATTGATGAGTACTGATACACCTCACAGCTCCTGGTTTTTGGTATGGGGCATGATAAATGGCATGGGCCAAATTACTGGTTGGGTATAGGGAATTAGTATATGTAAGAAGGGTCTCTAGGTGAAATATTTTGCTATCTCGTTTTGTCAAATTCTACTGCGACAACTTGGGAAGATTGTAATCCAAAGAGTGCAAGCCTATCATAAAGTTTTCGCCGAAATATTAAAGATAATTAATGTACATAAGGTAAAATCCACAGGCCTGTAAAAGAAAAAAGGTTTTTAGGATCTCTCAGTAGATCCCAGGGATGATGCGGCTGCGGACGATGGAGGTATAACGCTTCCAGTCAGCGCCATACTTCTTCTCGCACTTCTCCTCATCACGCATCTCACGGTGGATCAACAAAACACCAAAGTAGAGCATGTAGAAGTACGTGATGATCATACCCCAGCCACGGACTTCCGGGGTCTGTACGGCTTGCTTCTGGACAGCACCACTAGCTGGGTTGATGGTCTCGATGAGAACATATCCCGCAACACCAGTCGGTAGGCAGTATGCCCACGACATGGTCCAGTCACCCAGGTAGTTGATGTGACGCGCCAGACCCCACCAACCGGAGACCATCAGTTTGGATCCAGAGGCAGTTTCGATATACTTGATGTTCTTCACGCGAGGGTCGTTAGGATTCGTGCGGAAACGGTTCTTCTGGTTATTGGCGCCGCGGAAGATTGAATATCCAACGGCTGTGATACCCAGAACAACGGCCATACCGCTCAATCCAAGCTCGTAAGGGAAGACAGAGAGATACCGGGTCTGAATGCTGTACAAGTGGGGCACCCAAACCACATCGCCGAAAGACAACATGAATCCAAATCCGTCCATAATTACATCCATGGTGGTCATGAGTGCTGGCTCCATGTACAGCCCATCCAGGATGTAGAATGCCTGGAAAACGGTGACCAACACGATCGAATCAGTGATGTAGCCATAGGTTCGGTACTGGTGGGCCACATTGGACAGGTTCAGAATTGTCCATCCAAGCAAGCCCGGTCTCATCTCCATGAACACACTGATATCGATGGTGCGCGATGCCTCGCTGACAAATGGAATGGGCAGGCGAACACGAGGGTTGAGTTCACGGCCAATGAAGAAGTCGTAGAGCATGTTGCCCGTATGGCCGCCAGGTGCCAGCTCTCGCAGGTCTGGATTTGCCTGTCCGGGGGCTGGAACTGTGAAGCTCTTCACGTAGACAAATAGCGCAATAAGAGTAGAGATCAACAAGTTTGCTGTAATGACCTGAACATAGTTGTCCCATAGGAATGTCCACACCACAAAATCGGCTCCGTAGAGATAAGTGCCTCCAGCAAGGCCAGAGAGGATGATGATGGCAGAGGAGAATGCTACAAAATGAACCGAGTTAGAAAAAAGTATCTTGTTTGAATGCGATGTGCAAGAAAAAACATTGCCATTGCCATACCATTGAATTTGTACTTCAGCCGCCCTCCGCAAGCCAACATAACACCCTCTGCCTCCTGACCGGGAAGAAAAACCTGCAAGAACAAGCTGAGTGCATAGTAGCTCAGGGTCCACAGTGTAACATTGGTATCATAAAGCGCCGTAATTCCCTCCTCCGGCCAACCCACTTCATGCTTTAATTTCTCGAGCGACAAAGTTGAGGGGTTCAACAGCGATGGCGCGGGGCAACCAGAGATATCGTTGCAGACAAAGGTAAAGAGGTAGATCAGGGTCGGCAATCCAAAAATGATAGCGAAAGCACCTATTCTATTGCAAATGTCAGCCCAGCTTGGTTTAATTGAAGGGGGAAAACATACGGTCCACAAAACTCATAGCCACGTTTCTCTGGCACTGGCTGCACGGGTATTTTTTTGGAGTCCTTTTTGGTAGACATATTGAAGTAATGCAATGGATAGAGAAATAATCCAGGAATCTGGGGGGAGAGATCCCTAAATAAGAGAACTAAAGTCGCGTACGATGTCGGATAGCGGATGTCCGCAGATTTGCTCCGCATCGCCAATCACAGCTGCAGTGATGCTACGTAAGCCACTCTCCATCAGTACCTGGAGCACCTGGAGTACCTGAACGTACACTTATACACCTATCATTTATAAAGGTCATTTCTATCATTTTGCAGATATTCTTTTTCTCTAGACTCTCCTTATCCCATTTCTTTTTCTATGCTGGCTTGACCTCAATATAGCCCACCATGAAGCTCACCAGCTCCGCTCATTACTCTATCTTCCTTCTATCCTCGATCCTCGGACTATCTAGTGCATCATCTTCTACTCATTTGAAAGATGACGCTCCATGTGTTGCCCGCTCCCCGACCACAGGGTTGTACTTTGACCTCAATGCGATCTCATTATCCCCGCCCGAAATGAAGGACGGCAAGAAACTCCTGAAAGATGCGCGGGAAGACAGCTGGTATGCCAGGGGTCACGACTACCCAGCTAATTTCACAATTAACATCTGCGCTCCGGTCATTGAGAACGTGACGGACGTGGTCGGGATAGAGTCGTCGCGGTGGAATAACGTCAGTGCATATTACGAGCGGGATAATAAAGTATATTCCATAGGGTATGGCAGATCTCCATCCCAACTGGTCGTGCTAGTTGGTTTCACTCACTGATTATTGTGCTAATGGTTCTCGGTCATATACAGACAACAAGCATCCGAACCTTTCTTCCGCGGCCGCAAACTCGTCCTCAATTATACCAATGGCTCGCCTTGTCCGGACTATAACATGGGCAGTTCCAATGTCTCTACACGCACAAAGTCGACCATCATGTCTTTCCTTTGTGACCGCGACGCTGCGCCAAATTTCGCCACAACTTCCTTTGTGGGCTCCATGGATGAATGCGCCTACTTTTTCGAAGTCCGCAGCTCGGCGGCATGTGGTGGAATCGCCGCGGACCCCAACGCTGGCGGTTTGGGACCCGGCGGTGTATTCGGTGTGATGTGAGTAAACTTCTCTGTCTCTTGAGGAAAGACCCATATAATCCATATTGACCTTGTCCTCTAGTATGCTGATCGCCATCGCCGTATATCTGATTGGTGGCTGCGCCTACCAGCGAACGGTCATGCATCAACGTGGCTGGCGCCAGTGTCCGAACTTCAGCCTGTGGGCTGGGGTTCTCGACTTTGTTAAAGTAAGTATCCTAGCATTGATCCCATGTTGGCCTCGTCGCGGATTCAGATATGGCAAGTTCGTGTCACATAAGTTCCGGGATTCAAATGCGGCAGGACTACCTGTTTCAAGGATGGATTGAACTTGCTCTAGCTGGTCTGGAGACCAATCACTTCGGGGAATACGGTTGCGGTTAGCCTGTTCCATTCATTTCCTTGTTCCTTGTCCGACATAGATCATTGTTTTCTTGCATGTTCTTTCCTTTGATCTTGATTCTTTGGGTCTTTGACCGCCTGTGTTGATTACGGCGTGTACATTTTCATATGTTTGACAAAATGTCTTGACTTATGTAATGGGCTGTCCCTTGGATCCTTGTCAGTGGACCTATCCTTTCTCATCTTCGGGACTCCTTGATAGGAGACAGTTCCTGCATAGTCACTACTCCTCTTGTCTCATTAGATGGACTGCATGTTTTACTGCATGTACCTAAATCGATTGCGGTTGCGAGCCTCATTGTTTGGAGCATGACGCTGACAATTCCTTTCTTTCTGCGCAACAGGACATGTTCGTGATTATATTTTCCTCGCTGGGGAATCTCCTCCGCTGCAAGGGATCCCCCGCGAGTAATGGCTACACCCGTGCGGATTCCAATGGCCGCGGCGGTTTCATCGGCGCCATCGGAGGACGAGGAGGACGCGGTCAGGGGCGTGACGTGGATGCCGAGAACAGGCTCATAGATCAACTGGATGAAGAGTGGGATGACTAGCTGATAGTTGCCTTCGCCTTCTTTGCTCTGGTTGCCCTTGTCTTATAGCGACTTGTGTTTTCCATACCCTTTCCCAACATTCCTTTTCGTTTAGTGGCAGATATGGCCATTTTTGTTTGACAAATTGCTCAAATAATAAACCCCGGTGCTTTTCTCCTTGTCTAGTTATCTGTGATACAATGTTTTCCCCCGTGGTATTCACGAACATATCTCGTGGCTGTTCACATACCCCAGCTAGATATATATCCACAGCTGGGACCACACACCATCTCTATTCATTTGGATCGACATACAGCGAGTCAAGATGCGATCAGGATTAGATCTAAGTTGTAACCTAACTCGTATTACACCTACCAACTTCAATTAGGAAGATAATCGATCCTCTAGAGGGATTCTGCACGACTCAAATGCCATCTACGCGCCATTGGGCAAACATAATTCCCATAATGCAGGGCAAACCATACAACTAGCATCATTGGTCTAGTGGTAGAATTCGTCGTTGCCATCGACGAGGCCCGTGTTCGATTCACGGATGATGCACAACAATTTCTTTTTTTTTTTGGCAGATTTCATCTGCTTAATATTTATGGGATAAAGATATGTCAATTGATTTTTTTTTTCTTAGATCAGAATCTTTTACGAAGTTGCGATGTTTGACCAAGAAAATCAATTACATATGGATATTTTGTAAACTCTGCCCAAAAAGAAAGGGTATACATGTCGGAGACGAGACAATACTATTTACACAAATCAACACAAATGGGCTTACAATATAAACAGTAGCACGAAAAGTAACAGACCCCAGCCCCAAAAGTCCGACTCCAGCCGTTCGCAATCATTGTAAAGAAAACTCAGACACCACGTAGCAGTCATTGGGAAAGCATTAGCCGGTGAATAATACCCGACCTGATCACGGCCGCGGGCGTTTCATATCTGAGCTAGTTAAACCAAGATCATATGCGCTTAAAGGCATGCCACCGGCACCTCCAAAGCCAGATATATCTACAGAAGGGAGGCCAGACGGTGTGCTGTCACCATTGCTTCCCCCAGACATGGGAGCCGGGGGCGGAGCTTGTGATGGTGGGTTTCCCCCGCCAACAGGGTCAAGATTGAAGGGCAGGAACCATGCGCTGGGCTGATAGAACTCGCCCATCCCAGCAGGGGCGCTTGGGTCCATATGGCCGGTGAACAATGTTTGATCTGGATTTTGAGGTTCGACGCCGTTGAGCGGTGGGATAGGAGGATTGTTTGGAACGAATGAAGTGGGGTCGAAGTCAGTAAATGAACCGTAGACAAATTGCCGGTCTAGTTGCGGTAATTGGTCCGGTGGGATACTAAAATCGAATGGTGGTTGACCGAAGGACATTGGCCGGGATTGCTGGAACATGGATGGCTGTGGGAATGTACTGTCTGGGTCACCTGACGTGTTTCCCATGGTCACTTCCATCATTGACTGCGGTGAAGTCTGCTCCATGCCTGGGGCTCCATTTGCTAGTTTGCTGTTCTTGCGAGGTCGAGATTTGCGGAGTTGACCTGGCTGTGAAGTGGGGGAAAGGCCGGCAAAGAAATCCTCCACGCTCTGGAGGTCGGGTTTCTGGCCCATGACTGCGTCTTCGCCCGTTTCTTTGTGTCGAGTATCGGGGCCCTCCCAATGCACTCTTGACACTCCATGGGGATACTTGTCGAACCAGTCACCATATTGGAACATTGGTGCCAGCGATGCGCCATCAGTTGGCACAGAGCCCTTGATAGCTGCATCAGCGAATAGCCGGTACCGATCTTTGGCACTCTCAACCATATAGTGGAACATTCCCCAGTACTTTTTCATTTTATTGAGATAGCGGTAGGTATGCCGGAGGTTCTCTTTTGAGCGCGCCTCTAGCTGGACGTTCTTCGAGAAGATCCCCCAGATATGGACTGTACTTGCCGAATAAGCGCAGTACCCAGCAAAAGGAACAGTGAGCGGATAGGCTGAAGCTCGATCAAAAAGTACTGAAATGTGATGCGCTGCTTCCACTGCGGCTCGGCCTGCATTACTGAGGAACGACTTGGGCATATTTCTCGGTGGACGCCCCCCCGGAGACAAGGGAATGGCGAACTGGTTGAGAAACAGCATGTTTTGATGTGTGATGATGTGGAGGAAAATGAACTGATTAGCAATCTTCTCCGATGCATGGATTTGAAGATTTTCGTATGTGAAGGTCAAAGGTTCCGGAAGAGATGCAGAGAATTCCTCAATCTGCCGTTTAAGCTGCATGTACCCTGACTCTGGATGCCAAAGTGGATGTGAGTCCTTTCTCTTTCCACCCAGATTCAGGTAGTCAACAATGCGCCCCCACAAGACGATAGCGCGGATAATGTACGCGGAAACGCCCATGTTTTCTTTCGCATTAGATAATTGGCCCGCATCTTCAGGTACAGGATTAAGAATATCGCCGTCAAGATCTTCTGTTGGGCCGGGTATCTCCATCTGGAAGTGAGTTTCCTTGATAGGAAGCTGTATTTGTAAGAATTTTTCATTCCCAATAGGCGGCCGTTGACTTCCGGAAGAGTTGTACCGATCCATCAAGAAACATGCCCACATGGTGCGGCGCCGAATTTCTTGATCAGTGAAGCTCAATTGTGAGCCGTTGCCATTCTTCTGACTGAGTACTGGATCCTGATCAAGCTCCTGATGGAGCTGCAACGCGTATGCCATCCGTAATGCCTGACCACCATAAGACCAACTTCGTCCACCGTGACAGGTTCCAAACTCATGAAGACCAAGAAGTAGGAAGACTGTAAGGATGGTAATGTTTGGCTCGTCGTGCCGGCTCAGAGCGATGGCCGCAGCGGGATTAGCCCAGTTTTCTCCACGTAAGAACGGTGGATCCGAATTGAGCTGAGGGTGTGTGGAAAATCGCGAAGATACAGCACAGACAGCAAGAATCAGGACGGGGGGAATTGTGCCAGCTTTAAGCCGTCGCATAAAGCTGGGTTTGTGTAATAAGAGGTATGACTGTCCATAGACACAATCAAAGAACACCTCCGCAAGATGCTCCTGAATCTCCAATGATGGTAAAAACTCGGCACCCTCGGTGAGAAGGCCAGTCCCATCGGTGGGTTTGATCTCACGATTCATTGGGAACGTCTCGTGTGGTGGACGGGCATCCCCACGAGTCCATTCCTCCATCTCTGCCACAAATGCCTCTTCCGCGCTTCGTTTCTTCTGTGCTTTTGAGGGCTGAACTGAAGCGGAAGGCTTGACAACCGATCTCCCAATAGAGACCATATCCCTCGTCTCTTCCTTGGGTATTGTCTTGATGACGCGATCTTCCATCCTCTTCAGTCGCTTGTCCAACATAGCCATATAATCCGTGCGCGGCGCTGCCTTCCGTGTAGTAACTTTATACACACATGGAATCCTCGAGCGCGTACAATGTTTGCAGGCAGGCTTTTCGCCCGAGCAGCGGATTTTCTTGCGGCGGCATGCGATGCATGCCAGCGGCAGGCGCTTCCGCTCCTTCCCGGCCTTGGTCTTCATCTCGCTCCAAGCTGGTTTATCGTCGTCGTTTAGAGAATCAAAATTGGACGGGCCGTTGCTGTTGTCTCGTTGGTGTAGTGTGCCGTTGTCCGGGCCTAGCGCGGGGTCCGCGGTTTGTGTGCTACCGGGACGGGAACTCGCATGGCTTTGCGTATCGAAGTCGTCAAGAGCTGCTGCTGCCTCCTCCTGGCCTAGACCAAAGCTGATACCAGGGGGTTTCGAGGGCGATTTGTCGGAATCGGGTTGAATCATGACGGGTGCAGATACCCCAGGACCCAGGCCCGAAGCATCCTTCGGCACGGTCGGGAACGAAAGAAGGCGCTTCCGAGATGGAGGGCGAGTTCGTTGCGGGGGAGTTAGATTTAGAGTGGAATTTAGAGAGCAAGGAAGCAAGAAAGCAAGAAAGCGAGAGGAGCTAACAAGAGTCTGGATTGAGGAGAAAATAAAGTGCAGGCCCCCGAATATGGGGAAAGGTTCAGCGGCGAATGGCGGCTTGGCAAATAATTCAGCCATTGGCGGCGCCGATATTACGTAGACTCGACCACAATCTATACTGGAAGTCTGCTGTAGTTTAAAGGTAAACTATTGAAGCAGAAGAAAATACACATTCGATTCGAGTTTACATATCTGGAGGCTTTGTCCCAACCCTATACACCCCTCCCCAAGCTCCTATACTATTCCCATATACTAATTCTAGGACTAGGAATATATTTACAACCTCACCCTCCCCCGTGCCATATCACTCATAATACCTTCATGGATATACTCGTAGTACATACGATCCTCCCAAAACGGACCCGAACACGTAGGACAGCCGGATTGGCATCTGGGCTGGCACATCGGAAGTTTGACAAAAGACTAGGACTAGCATGTGGCTACATGTCAGAGGAATCCTTAGTCTGAGTGGCCAATAATATGATATTCATTGATCATGTCGAGTGCATTACAGAAACAGATCCTTTTCCCCCGCCTTATACTAGTCATCTTTAAATGCCACCTACCGATAGATAGGCCGAAGCGATGCGATTTTTCTCAAGTACGCTCGTTATCATCATTGCACGTGTCGCATTTCTGTACGCAGGCTATTCCATAGTTCGCGCGACTGATTCTAGGTGGATTTCGGGCGTCCAACCTTGTGGCGCGGTGTTGCGAGCTCAAGCGAGTTCAAAATCTCGCCGCCGAGAATATAGATATTGTAGCTGGGGAACACGAGCCACAACCCACTAAGTAAAATCAGTTCTATATGTCGTGTGAACATGTACTAGGCAGAACTCACTTAGGGAGGATCCAGCAGAGGAAGAGAGTGAGCGGTTTGTTGTGACCAACGTTCTCGAAGCCGGAGAAGATCTCGTTGAGCCCTATTTCTCGTGTTAGAATCAAATACACAAAGCTCAGACAATGCATGCAGCTCACAGTAAAGGATAGTCTTGCTTAGGGTCATGACAGAAGCAGTATATGCGATCAGAAGCGCGATCGC